TTTATTTTTTATTTCGTGGTCCGCTTGATCAAATAAATTCTGTTCATTTAATTAAGGTTTTGGTTGAGATAAAAACATCATATGACACTAACTGATTTGAGTGAACTCCAATTGATTTGGTTGAAATTGCAAAATTTAACAAAATATTAGATAAAAGGCAGTTTTCCGAACGTAAATTTTAATCTTACAAACTATGTAATGCGGTTCTAGAAATGTATTTTATTCTATTCGTTTTCCTTCACCTAATAAATCAGTTATGTTAGTCCCCATTAGCCAACTAATAATAAATTCATCTGAAATATTGCGATATTTTATTCAGTAAGAAAATCATTACTTACTTTTTGAACATTTATTTTTTGGCATCAGCTGGTTGCCAGAGCCACATGCAACTTCATATAGTAATGTACAATTTGTTCAAAATGACATTTAAAAAAACAATACCTAAATAAATAATTAAATAAATAACAATAACAATAAATTAATTAATTAATACAATAATTACAGCTATTGTTACAACGCTTATTTTGATACAGTCATAATCTTTTGTTTATATTCTGGAAGATGTCCTCTACTGGAGAAATCACCTCGCTACAATAGGAGCTTATTACATTTGAGTACCCTACCATTTCCCAATACGTTTTTTATAGCACTTAGCATCTTCCAACATTTCTCTTCGTAGAGAGGACACATCATGATTATATGTTCCAGTGATTCTATGCTACCACACGTGCGCTTTTTGTCTTGTACCTGGTTTATCTTTTTTAAGTAATATTTACACTAACTGTGATTGGACCTAAGCCTCACAATCATCCTGCATGTCGCTTTTATAAGGTTGATCCTTGAAAACTAGGGTGTTGTCGAAATGGCTGGAAACATTTTTTATATAGTACTCATTATACACACTGTCTTGAGTCTGCTAACTATTCATGCCTCGCGCCTTGGCCATTAGATATTAGTCATGGTATGGTAATCTGATATTTGATGTTTGTCTAGTTGCTTCTTTTACTTACTTGATTACTTACATTGATCTCGATTATCAAGTTTTGTGCGATTAAGTAGGTTATTGCTCTTAAATTATGACACTCGGGCTCATAAATTTTATTTAACATTAAAATTATGATACAGAAAAATAGGGTTATAAATTGCACAGTATTTTTTATATAAAAATCAAAACGCCTCATTTTATAATGAATTCATTGATTTATAGTTTTGAAGCAAACTGTAGAGGTTGATATACAAAAGCCAGTATTGGAAACAAATTATATAAGCCTATAAAATTACATTTATGTTGTTATTTAATATTTATTGAAATTTTAGGTTTATGTTTTTTATTTCATAAAAACGTCAATAGCTCGTATCAATCTGGATCGTGGAAATCGTGAGATGCGGTCTGGTGTGACGTGGGTTTATAAAAAAGTTTTTTTATCATGCCACCGTTTCGATCTTTATTGAGATCCTCTTCAGGGCTCAACGTGTTTGTTTCCTGTGTATTAATATTACTGTTAAATTTATCCAAAGATCAAAAAAACTTTCGTTTGTCATTATTCTAAAAATAGGACTTTTAGTAACTAAATTAATGTAACCTAGGATAAACGAAATATCACTGTTTTTTCTCATTTCGTCACCTAGTTTTTGGTCCAGAAGTTATCTACGGTAAGAGAAGACAAGGAAAAGAGAGGGAGCCATTAAAAATAGATAGACCACAATGATCGGAAAAGATCAAATTGATTGAGATGAAATTATGGCAAAAAGAAGGAAAATTCGAACGGTTATAGGTTGTTGAGGAGTTGGTGTCCGCGGAGATCAAAGTCACGATAGCTCTTAGTTGTTAGAGCGGAGGCGTATTAACCCGAAAGCCGTGGGTTCGAATCCCGCTCATGACACTAAATTTTCATCCCAACCAAAACCCTTAAATGAAAAGAATAATTAATTGGAATACTTAGCACAGTCAATTATGACCACTAAGCAAATATGGATTAATTTGAAAATCGTTTTTGCTTTTCCATGTTAAATTTATGATCTTAAAACTTTTTTTTAAATTTTGTTAAATCCATTATATTTCCATTATAAAAATGGATGGGAGATTGTGTCCGAGTGGATCGAAGTCACGATAGCTCAAGTGGTAGAGCAGCGGCGTACTGAGCTGAAGGTCGTGGGTTCGAATCCCGCTCGTCGCACTAGCGTTTTCATTTCAACCAATACCTTTCATAAAGATTAATTATTTAAATTTTATATTTCATAGTTTGGAAAATGTTGGCATAGTAAAAATCCTTGATACGAATAATTTATTTATTAAACGTTTAGTTTGCATAAATTGATAATATTTTGCAATAGCAAAAAAAACTGCCTGGAGAACAACTTGAAACCTCCGGCAATAATTTGAATGATTGAAAAATAAATTTTACTCCAGAAGTTATAATTCCATTGCATGATCAATTATGAAGAAATATTCAAACCGTCATTTTTGTACATGAAGCGGTTTCATGTTTGCCTGTATTGTTGAGGGTTCGTGCGAGTGCTCAGTGAGTTGAGTAGGGTAGTTCGATTTTCCGATATTGTTCCTAACATGTTTTATGCGTTCTTTGTACCTGTCTTTTATTTTTCATTCTGTCTGTCTGATGTACTTGCGTTCACATTCACACGTTAAAGCGTCTATACAATATTTATCAATGGGTGGGGGTGTTGATGGTTTATCTTACGAGAGTAGGTCGTATCACAGATATTAATGAATTTTTTTTGAAATGTTGGCCAATTTTTATCATTTAAGAATATAACTTTAAGAATATAATAATAAATTGTGTTCATCTGCAAAAATATAAAATATGTAAAGAAACATGATGAAAAAAGGGAGTGAGATGGGGATAGAGTCCGTTGATTGTACGGTGGACTACTGAGGATGTAAGAAAATAATGTTAATGTCCGAACGTAAAAGTGAGAAAAAGGTCAAATCTTTGAGGGTGGTAGTGAGGTCTGAAATAAAGAAAGGTGGTTTATAGGAAAAAATGAAAAAAAATTATTGGTTTTAAAAGTAATTTCTTCAAAAAGAGTGTACATGTTCATCGTAACAGCTATCAAGTACACTGGCAGGTTAACAATTCCACTCAATTGATTTTTTTTATTTTTTCGATTCTGCCCTTAATTCGTCGCATTGTTTTTACCAATAAATAAATGTTTATGTATGTTTTCAATTTGGATTATCAATTAGAAGTAAACTCACTTAATCCTTAATCCAAAAGAGGATAAAAAAATTTCAATGTTTACTTTGGTCGAAATTTAAAATGTTTATTCGGCCTTATTTGAATTCTGAAGCAATAATGATGTTGCGCTTCGTGTGGCACTTTTTATGAAACTCCTACCATAGAACGACCGGTTATGGACGCCCTATGGATACAAAACCACAGGATGACAATTTTTTTGACTGAGAATTTTGCGCAACCGGCACCTTAATGTTTTTCAAGCGATCCATCAGCTCCAGGAAGTTCGAGGTGTCCAAATTTCTGAACGTACTGCTCGAAGAAGATTAAACCAAAATGGACTGATTGCTTTTTGCCCTGTAGGAAGACCAGAATCGACCCGAACATACAGAATTCCATTTTATCAAGAACACAGCCATTGGTCTTTGGACGAATGGTCCGCTGGACTTTTTACAGATGAGTGTAGATTTGCTCTACGACCTCGAGATGGGCAGAAAAGAGTGTGGAGAAGGCAAAATGAAGCTTGCAATATTTCCCAGAGCCAACAATTTCAACATCTGATGATGTGGGCGGGAATTTCAACGGTGAGTCGTACAGAGTTGGTTGTTGTTCGTGGAGGTTCTTTGACAGCGACTCGCTACGTGGATGAAATTATGGAACATCATCCATTGTCTGTCTTCGATGAAATCAGCAACAATCCTATTCTAGTGCACGATAATGCCAGTCCACTTGTCGCTCGCATAGTACAAACGAACCTTCAACAGCATAATATGAAGGTCTTAGCTTGCCCAGTCTGTTCTCCAGACTAGAACCCATCAAACATTTACGGGATAACCTCAAAAGACGAATAATCGCACGTCCATCACTTCCTGATACACTCCACGATCTTGAAAAGAATCTTCGTGAAGAATGGACTAACTTCCTCATAAATCAAATAGATATTTCCAGACTGGTAAAAAGTATGCGGAGGCGTCTTCGAAATCTAAAAGGCAAGAGGAGGAGATACGCGCTATTGAAATGTTAATTAAAAATCTAAAACAAAGTTAATACAAATTTTATCTGTCCGTCTTTATTTTCTTAGAAAGTTAATTTTTTTACTATTATAGACAATGACGCAATTATTAAACGTTAAAAAACGTGATACTTTGATTAATATATGAAATATATACAAATAAAGTTATAATAAAGTAGGTGGAATTATTTTAAATTACATTGCATCGAGTTGTCAGTACATTGAGTTTGTATAGTAAAATAATTGAAAGTTCATTTACGTTTTCGTAGTCAATTGACCAAGTTGCACCTTTCAATCAATTAATTATTCTTTCTAAGGTCTTGGTTGAGATGAAAAGTTAGTGTCACGAGCGGGATTCGAACCAACGACCTTCGGTCAATACGCCGCTCCTCTAACTACTTGAACTATTGTGAATTCCATCCTCTCGGACACCAACTCACCGTCTCAACTTACAACCGTTCGAATTTTCCCCTTTTTGCCTCTTTCAAATGTCGTGTAATCAATCGGATTGGATACTCAGCGACTAATGAAGTGTCCACGGGAGGCTGTTTCGTGATGTGATACTTCTTTTACTTTTTAAAAATTAATCCATTTACAGTTTCGTGTTCAATTGACCAAGTTACATCTTTCGCTCAATTAATTTATCTCAAACAAGATTTTAGAATGAATAATTAATTGATTGAAGGATAAATGAAAGTATTTAATCATGACTTATTTTCATTGTTTATTTGATCAATGTTACCGGTGCAGTCTGTTCGGAAAGTACTGGAAATAATTTTTTTTGTTTGTTCCAGGTGGTAATGCCGGCGACGGCCATGTTCTCAAATTTCAAGTCGCGGGTGGGAGGGGGCGGTGGGGCCCCACAGAACGTGCTCGACCACAATCCGATTACACAGCACTTTGAAATCGGTAAACAGAGTGCATCCGCGGGCCCGGAACTCGTCTGGAGGATACACGACGCTTACAGAAAATCGGATAGAAAGGTATGCTTGACTTTGCTTCTCTGAGATGAACTTGAATAATGCCGGTTTTGAACAATAAATTACCTTTACCTGGATGTCTCGGTTTCTATTCTCTCCTCTCACGTCAGCCAAAGGGATCCGGTTTCTGATAAGCAGTATATTACAATAGGTCGTTAATTACTGTAATTAATGTTCCTGCCAATATTCAAAATTGTAAATGGGCTTTTCTCGTCTTGTTGAGGTTATTATTAAAATGAATGTTAACGTTGGCATTGTGATGTGTCAAGAGCTAATATTTATTTTCAATTAATTTGCAACCGAGTCAATTTGAATGTTAAATACCATGACTTCGACGCCTCATGTTTTCGCCTCGTTAAATCGTCAATATTAACATAGGGATAACAAACATTATCATGTTCATAAAGTTATGTTTGTTGCCTGACAATTAATTTTTATATTGTCCTTAAAAATTATTTAAAAATATCAATATATCAAATAATTTATTATTCCAAATACAGGGTGGTCTGCTACTCGTGTTACAAATTTTGCCAGTTTATTTTGCATTTAAAATGGAACGAAAAAGGCCGAATTAACTATGGTCCGAATCTCAGATGTTTCGAAGTAATTCCACTTTTTGTGAGTTTTTAAGATTTCACGACCTTGCTTCTCATAAACAATGATAACTCCAAAACTAAAACGTTTTGGGCAAATCCTTTGATATCATTGAAAACTACGTTAAGTTTTTAATAAGTTATGATTAATACTAAAGTTGTAACCGTTCTTGAAATAAGCGTTTTAGTAGACAGAACATTGACAAGTAATTTTTTTTCAATAAATTCACTAATTTCGTGATCCGCTTGACCAATTAATATATTATAATTAATTAAGGTTTTTAGTTGAGATAAATAAGTCAATGGCACGAGCGGGATTCGAACCCACGATCTTTGGCTAGATACGCCGCTGCTCTTCCACTTGAGCTATCGTGACCTCGATCCACTCGGACACCAACTTCCTATCTCAACCCCTTCGAATCCCGCTCGTACCATTGACTTTTTTATGTCAACTAAAAACCTTAATTAACTTTTTTTTTCAATGTTGAAAAAATTTCTATAGGGATTCTGAATCCCAAAAATAGAGAGAGAGAGAGAGAGAGAGAGAGAGAGAGAGAGAGAGAAAGGGAGTGAGAGAGAGAGTGAATCCAGTTTTTTTTAAATATACTTAATTTATGTGGAAGTGGAAAGAAAAAGAAAGTGTTGAGAGAGAAGGAAATAAAGAGTAAATAAAAAAGAAGGGGTGAGGGATTGAAAAAGGGAAATGAGGAGAAAACGAGAAAGAGGCAAAAGAAAAAGGTTGGCAAATATAAATAGAAAATGAAGAAGAGAGATAGAAATGGTGATAAAAAGAAGACAGATAACCTCGATAAATGGCTCTTTTCACCTTTGTTATCTGCTACAAAAGAGCGTCATAGATTGCATGCGTCGAGCACAATCAACAGAAAATTTTTTGTTGTTTAAAGTCCAATTTCATTCATGAAGTATATTTAATTTAAAAGAACGAAATTTCGTCGGTTTTAATCTATCTGAGTTGCGTTGGCTTCTTAAATTTCATTGCGAGGATCTCCATTTGAACTCTGCTCATGGGATAAGAGGGAGAAATGGAATCTGTTTTCTTTGCAACTCAGGGTCAATTGAGACGGTTCTTCACTTCCTGGCTGAGTGTTCGATTTTAGGAAAGATTCGCCTATTGCACCTCGGATCATTCACTCTCTCAAGAGCCCAATCGAGCTGTTGAATGCTTCTCATTCCCGGACTCTCATACGGTATGCTCGCCACGCCTGGAAGTGTACATAATATTTAGTCTAAGGATTTAATTTTTAATTTCTTATAAACCTTTCCTTTATTAAATACCACAATCATAAAAAAGTTAATCATATTGACTAAAAACTCATTACTTTTCTGTGTATTTATTTCTAGTCATTCTATGTTCCTAAATTAATGCTTGTATATCCAGTGTTTTATGTTTAATTCCTTAAGTAAACTATTGGTTGAGATAAAAAAACGTCAGTGTCATGAGCGGGATTCGAACCCACGACCTTGGGCTAAATGCGCCGCTGCTTTACCACTTGAGCTATCGTGACTTCGATCCACTCGGACACTAACTTCCCATCTCAACTCCACCTTTGAATTTTCCCTCCTTTTTGCAATTTATCAAATGTCGTGTAATCAGGATTCGATTCTCAGCGACTTATGAAGCGGCCACGGGGAGTTTTTATTTCAATCAATACGTTACTTAAAGAGTAATTAATTGAAAAGAATTTATTTTTTCAATCAGACTATGAAACCTAATGGATTTATTCATTATTCGGAAACCGTGAGATGCGGTCTGGTGTGATGTAGGTTTCAAAAAAACATTTTATTTATCGTGTTTGTAAATCCCAGGCCCTGAAGAAGATCTCAATAAAGATCGAAACGTTGGCACGATAGAGAAAATGTTTTCTGAAACCTAAGTCATGCCAGACCGCATTTCACGATTTCCGAATAATCATCGACTAACGGTCACTAATCACCACACATACTAATGGATTTATGTTTAATTTTCAATTTCCAATTATGTTTGACAATTTACAGCAATCTCCGACGACAGACCCATTTAATTCCGTGTTGTATATACTTTTATACATATGTTTCAGCATGCGCACAAAATAGTAAAATAAAATATTTCTATCTATATATCTATCTAAAAGGAAAAGAAGAGAGTGTGAGATATGCTTTAAAACGTAAATGTTATAGGGAAGGTAAGTGAAAGGGATTATCAGAACCCGGAGAGAGAGAGTGAGTGAGTGAGAGAGAGAGAGTGAGTGAGTGAGTGAGAGCGTAATGGTTTCTCTTGGAATCGGGGTACAGTTCAAATGTTTTGCCTGATCTATCAGACGAGATGGTTTAGTATAACAACTAAGCCCTCAAATGAACTACTTATATGCACAAGATATACTATCAAAGAGTGTAAGAAAAGAAGGGAGAAAGAGATAACGAGTGAAAGTGAGAGTGAGAGGGAGCGAGAGAGAAAGAGAAAGAGAAAATAGAGAATAATAGAAGGAAAAAGGTTGGGAATCCGGATTGTATTTTATCGATCACGAACATCTTTGCTTCACCTTGTATTTCTAGTAAACACAGGTTTATTCACACATAATTTTACGGATTCTTATCTTTTTTCTTTTTCATTTTTAAAAAATACATATAAAATAAAAATTATGTTTGAAAAATATTTAGCTATTAATAATTTATATGCTTTATAACAATTTAAACATCTATTCCATTTATATACGTAGTATTTCATTATACATTTCAAGGTGAACCATTATGAAAACTTTGAAAAGCTAGAACATGACATTTAAACTAATATGACAAAACGGGGAAGAATTATTTCGCTCCGCTGAGTAGCAAAAACGTTTCTAGCTGATACCTGATTACATGGAGGAAAGCTTTTACACATTATAATATCCTAATATTTGTTTAAATATTCTATTCAGTTCAATAACAATTTATCTCTGATAGCAAAGTTCATTGAAATTCATGCCAGGCTTTTCCATCCACATTTCCCAATAAGTCTAGAAAGGTACAAAGTATTTTAGGAAAGTTAAACCACCAGAAATATTGGCACAGCGTGTGACTATTATCAATATCCCTTAATCGATGTTCTCAATAATGAATTCATTCACGATTCCTATATTGATTTGTATCAATTACTTCTTCATTACGTCTAAAAATTATTAGGTAAAGACAAAGGGACTAGAGTAATAAGAATACAATTAAAGATGCAAGGAAAGAAAAAAATATAAACACTTGTCTTAAAACACAATATATTTTAACAACACACTTGTTAAAATATCTGAAAGGACAAGTGTTAATATTTTTCTTTCTTCCCTTCTTACAAAATATTTAAAAAANCTTGTCATTTCAGATTTTTACAAATATATGTACATAAATTTATTATTGTATTAATTATTATTTATTTTTTTATTTTTTAAAATCTGAAATGACAAGTTTTAATTTCGGACTGTGCCTCTAGTCATTCCGTTTTGCAAATGGACAAATACGAAAAAACCTAAATTTTTTGCAATTAAAATATAAAATCGTCTGACAAATCGTACAAAAATCTTTAAATAAATGAAATTTTGAAAGAAATAAAAAGTACAATTCTTCAAATCCACCATACAATAATAGGAATAAATGGAAATAGTAAAAAATATAAAATAGTAAATTAAAGTGAATGACATTTGTAAAAATGAAAATGGGCGTCCGATAATACCGGGATTCTTTTTCAATGATAAAAAAAGAAAGAGAGCGATAAAAAAAAATGGGAGGTAGAGAAAGGGAGAGAAAAAATAGCACTTAGTTTAACAGAGAGAGAGAGAGAGAGAGAGAGAGAGTGAGAGAGAGAGAATGACAACTAGTGGGATACATAAAGTAAGAGAGAAACTGAGCAAAAGACAAAGAGAGTGAGAGTGAGAGAAAGAGAAAGAGTGAGTCATGTTTCCCAATTTGTTATGATTATGTATTATCTTCATTACGGTTTTTGTTAACAAAATATGTTCATTTTATTAGTGCAATATAGGAAAAAAGTGTGTGAGAGAGAGAGAGAGAGAGAGAGAGAGAGAGAGAGAGAAGGAGAGAGAGAAGAAGAAGAAGAAAAATAACTTTATTCTGGAACTGGTGTCTCCTAAGATGAATATACAAGAAATAAATAAACGAATGGTGATTAGTGACCGTTTATCGATAATTATTCAGAAATCGTGAGATGCGGTCTGGTGGGATGTAGGTTTCAGAAAAAACATTTTCTTTATCGTGTTTGTAAATCTCAGGTCCTGAAGAAGATCTCAATAAAGATCGAAACGTTGGTACGATAAAGAAAATGTTTTTCTGAAACCAATATCACACCAGGCCGCATCTCACGTTCTCCGAATAATTATTAAATAAACGAAGTTCCTTCTATGAAATTAAAAATAAAATGAGATAAAAATC